CTCCTGCATTGCAGGCGGCTTCTTTACCATCTGAGCCACCAGCAAAGCGCACTGGTTCTGATACACAGACACAAGGGAAAACGAGAGGAAACCCCTTGCCACTCCCAACCTTGTCAAGAGGAGAGAGACAGAAAATGTCCCTCCATTTCCTCCTACCTTACTTAAAATCTAAATTCCCAGGCTCTCCAAAAATGGCCTCAGCCCACACTCCCACCCTGTGTCCTGATGGTATCTTCCATCCAATCCACCACGTACCTCTCCATATCTGCAGGTCTTACCCATCTGGAATGTCGTCTCCTGGCTCCAATCAGATCTGATCAAGCCCACAAGGGCATCCACCCCCGGGTGAGCCCTCAGTTACACACATACACGTGTGCTTCTGGCAAACATATTCTGAATGCCTGTACCGTGCTGATGCTTGGCAGGTCCTGGGTCCCAGAGAGAATAGCACGGTCCTTGCCCCACAAGGAGCTCCAGGGGAAGATCCACCAGCAACAGCCAAAGTTGGTGGAGGCAGAGTGGGCAATGAGGGCAAAGTGGGAATTCCTTCTGAAATTATACACGGTGTAATGCTAGGTAATAAATTAAGTTTTAAAAGCCCAGGGTTTTCTCACAGTTGTGGGCCTGACCACTTGAGCCACAGCCCAGGCCTCTGAAATTCTTGAGGGTTCCCTGTCTGCCCCTCCTGTAAACTGGAGCCTGCAGACAGCTTCGGGGCAAGGAGTTTTGACTGCTAGCCGTCTCCATGGAGGCCTGAAAATCGGAACCCAATGTCTGTTCCTTCTTTTCTCGTGATGAGGTATACACACTGAGACCGGACTCCCTCCTCTGAGCCTCCGTTTCTGTATCTAGAAATGGGCACAACTCTGCCACAGGGATGGGGGCAATCAACAACCCAGGAAGTCCTCTGTGCTTCCTTCATCATCACAGCACAAATGAAACAATCCCAGAGACCCTGTCCCCTCCACTGACCCCACAGCTGAGCAGGGGTTAAAGCCCCTGCAGACACACTTCAGGGTCTGCCCCTCCGCCCCCCAAAGATGACAGACATGGAAGGCCTTGATTAGAAGCAGAGCAAGCCTGGGTCCCACAGCACTGCCTCCCCAACCAGCTTGCCCAGGCAGGCCCCGGGCCTCAGGGGGCCTCCCTGGGGCCGGCAGCAGCCCAGGCCTGAGTGCTTTTTTGTAGAGTCGACTCCCTTCCCGTGCAGGGCCTGGGGTGAGGATGGCGCTGATGGCAGCTGCTCCTTTGGTTTCATGTACTTTTCGCCCAGGCAGGGTTCATCTGGGGTCCTAAGGCAATGTATAATCCTGCTCTGCCCTCCCAGAGCCTCAAGACGGTGGACAGACCAAGCGGTCCTGGCCGTTTGACAAACAGCAGGGACGGGACACCACAGGCGTCTAAGAATGGATGAGGGCGGAGCCCCCGAGCAGAGTGCCCTCCCCCTCCCATCTCTGATGAGTCCAGTGCTTACACACGGCTGTGAGCGAGGTCATCGCTGACAGCACTGACCCCCACTGGGCCTCCCTGAAGTGCTTTAGTTATGTTGTTACTCAGTCGTGTCCGACTCTCTGGGACCCCATGGGCTGAAGCATGCCAGACGTCTCTGTCCTGCATCAACTCCCGGAATTAGATCAAATTCATGTCCACTGAGTCAGTGATGCCATCCAACCATCTCGTCCTCTGTCATCCTGAAGTGCTTACCCCTCACCTTGTCTTCTCCCCGCAAATCAAAGCCCCATTTCCCAAATCATGTCAACGGCGACTTAGGAGAGAAACAAGCTTGGTCTATACTTGAGAATACCAGGCTGGGGGAGGGGGCCAAGGACCCCCAGATCCCTAACCCAAGGCGTGACCTGTGGGGACAGCTTGTAGCAATGCAGCATAATGGTTAGAGAACAGCCCCTGGTGCCAAGCAGTTTTGACTGTGAACCCTGAAACTCCAACACTTAATAGCTTTATCACCAGGCTTAGCCTCTGCCCAGAGGCGTCTCTGTCAGTGAAATGGGAACAGTTAACACATGGTTAATAGGATAATGTCAGGATGTGGTACAGCACAAGGGCTGGAACTGAGCGTCAGCATGGTCTGGAAGGAAGGACCACAAGGTGGCTTGTCCTCTGGGATGGAGTCTCCTTTCCTCCCTCAGTAGACGGGACAACCATTTGGTCCTGGCACATTTCTGGTGTTCCCTCGGCATCTCGGGGGTCTCGCCTCCACAGCTGACTCTCCCTGTGACCACCTGCAATGAGTTGGGCTAACCCCGCCAGTCAGACAAGGTCTGGTGTCTTGGGCTCTGCTGTTTCACTGTCATTTTGGGTTTCTTCTCTTACCACCATACAGAGCAGTAACAACTGAGGACATAAATACATGCTGGGTTAACCTGGTCGTTACTGACCAGATTAAGGATCAATCGTCAACCTGGTGATTATTTGGTCGTAACACTGAACTGCACTAATGCTAAACTTGACTGAGTGTGAAACCAGACCTTTTATGCCTTAAACACTGAGAAGATGTAAGGGGCTCACTGCCAGAACACGTCCTGACTGATGTCCTGATCCTTTCAGGATGGCCATCATGACGGCCGCCATGGTCCCAGAGTCTACGCTGTCCAGGGTCCTCAGCCCCTCCGTGCAGACCATGTGGCCAGGGGTACAGGGCTGAGGGAAGTGTGCCTTATTTCAAAGGTCGTTCAGGAAGCTCAGATACAGAGAAGGAGCAGCAATAAAACCGTCCTGCTTAGGGGAGAGATGGAACCTGCAAGGTCTCAGGGACTGCTTTAGTATCTGCCCGGAAGTCTCGGGAACAGAGCCAAATGAGGAACCCTGTCCCCAGGGGCCTCTGGACATGGCTGAACTTCCTCCCATCCATGAAGCAGGCGTGCTTTCTGGCTCTTCAGCCTGGGTGTCTACTCAGCAGGGTGCAGATCACCAATAAAGGTCCATGGGGCACTGTGAATGACCTTCTAAACAAGCCAAGGGGAGAGTTTTCCCTTGAAAACTCAGAGACAGGCCAACTCTGTGCCTGGATATATGCTGGGCATCCACCTCATTCCACATATAAACACATATGAGATCATCATACAATATACATACACACACATCTACACAGTCTACACCTCTACACCCATCCGTTGTGTGTGTGTTTAGTCGCTAAGTTGTGTCTGACACTTTGCTACCCCCTAGACTGTAGCTCACCAGGCTCCTCTGTTCATGGGATCCTCCAGGCAAGAATACAGGAATGGGTTGCCATTTCCTTCTCCTGGGGATCTTCCCAACCCGGGGATCAAACGCACATCTTCTGCATTGCAGGCGGATTCTTTACCGCTGAGCCACTGTAAACTGCAGACCCTAGCCCACTGCAAATGGTCTGGTGAAATAATAGTCCAGAAATTCCTACCCTGAGCATTCTACACAGATGCCATCTCCTTGCAGGACGAGGGGAAAGCCCTTCCCGAACCCCCATGGTTGAGGTTCTTGTCCTTTAAGATGGTGTTTTAATTACCTAGTATCCAACATGCAAGTCAGGAGCTTCAGCTTCTTTCAATAGTGACCTCTGGAGAACCCCCCATGGACATCTTGCAGTTGAGCCTTCCTCCCACCCAAGGAAGACAGAGTCAGGGCGGGGGGATGTGCGCTGCAGAAGAGGAGGCCCCAGCTCCTCTAGGCACAAGTTATGTCTGCCCGGGCTAGGTGTCTCCTTTATGGCTCCCCAGGAAGGACAAAGGGACATGGCAGGGGACAGGATGTCACCGAGGACCACGGTCACAAGCCTCCACACTGTGGCTGGGCTAGATGCCGATGTGAGGAGAGGCTGAACACAGTGGCCAGGGAGGCGGGAAGAGACCCCTGGAAGAAGGGGGGGTGGGCAGCTACGATTCCAAATCACAAATAATGAGGGAAGAAGGAGCCAGACAGCCCCCTCTCCACCAGGCTCTCAGCCAGAGCCAAAGTCATTGAGAAGGCCAGTGGCCGAGCAGAGATGGAATCTCCTGAACCTGGGCAGCCCTCCCTGTGTGAAAACAGAACTGGAGGTCCACATACTCTGGAGGGGAGGTCAAGCCAAGTGGAATTTAGCAGGCAGGGAATTTGCAGAAGAGACACTGCTGCCCTCTGCGCTCTGCAGAAACCACAAGACCCGCAGGAGGGTGATGTCACTGCACAGAAAGGGGAAATGCGGCTGCTCCGCAGTCCTGAGACCTCGCTCAGCTTCACGTGCCCGGTGTGCAGTGAAGACAGAGGATGAGGCTAAGCCCTGGGCAGCCACCGATGGATCCACAGACGGCCCCCCTGCCCTCCGGAAGATACTCCTCTCACCTGCCTGGTCACGACACAGCCCCATGGCCACCCACCCCAACCCCAGGTGCCCAGCTTTCCTCGGACATCAATGGAGGGGCTGGAGCAAAGTCGGGGAGGTTGGGGGAGATGAAGACCTTTACATCAGCCAGCACACCCCTTGACTGGGAAAGGAACTGTCAGAGTAAAAGCCTTGCATTTGCATGCTTTCCCCAAGGATTTTCACATCCATTGAGTAAACTCTGGGAGCTGGTGATGGACAGGGAGGCCTGGCGTGCTGCAGTCCATGGAGTCGCAAAGAGTCAGACACGACTGAGCGACTGAACTGAACTGATCTTGTGTTCAGTCCCACAACAGTCCGAAAAGTACATGACACAAGTATTACTCGGCCCACTTGAAGGATAAAGCAACAGAGGCCGGGGCAGGGAAATGAGCCCCAAGTCGCAGAGCAGGTGGTTTGCAGTGCTCCTTGCATCGTGCTCTGCACCCCGCAGTTTTGCACAGAGAGCAGGGCCACCACCCGGGCATCAGGGGGTGATGGGTGCCTCCGAGGAGGTCTCCGGGAGGAGCCACGGCTGCCTGCGGGGTGAAGCTGCTTCGTCCCCTCCCCCTCTCCGGGTCTCCTACTCTCCTGCCGCAGAGCAAATGAAGGGACAGGGACAATGGCCAGGAGAGACGCAGAGAAGATGTGTGCCCTGAGCGCTTACCTGCTCTGGTCCGAGTCCTGAAGGGAGATGCCGGAGTCCCAGTCCACGTCCCCGGCTAGCCGCTCTAGGACCCAGAGCAGAAGCAGTGATTAGGGCAGAGCCAGGAGCTGGGCTCTCAGCTGCAGCTTGATGAGCATAAGCATGGAGGAGAAAGTTTTCTCCAGCAGCCATTTACTCCCCCGGATAATTCCGACACCCCAGGTGGAGGCTCAGCCTGTCGCAGTGACTGCTGGTGGGCACTGTCGTGAGCTGAGGGCCCACGGGGGTCTTCTCAAGCGTTGGGTGTGGGAGGAAGGAAGGGCAAGAGCCGTGGCTGAGGCCTGAACAGTTGCAACAGTGCGGCCACCTGAGCTCAGCCCGCCGGCCTGGAGGCTGGGTCTCTCTGTGGGGAGGGGCTCCTACCCGAGGACAATGAAGTCCACCGCGGGCTGAGGACGTGCATGGTCAAAAAGCCACTGTCGAAAGAACCACAGGGAAGAAACTGTGGAGGCTTTCCCAGTGGTCTGGGACAGGGGTCTCTGACCTCTGGGATCTAATGCCTGATGATCAGAGGTGGAGCTGATATGGTAATAATAGAAATAAAGTGCTCAATAAACATCATGCGCTTGAATCATCCTGAAACCATCCCTACCAGTCTATGGAAAAATTGTCTTCCATGCAACCAGTCCCTGGTGCTAAAAGTCAGGGACTGGTGGTCTGGGGGGTCTGGGGGCGGCCTTTAGCAGATGGGGCTGGCTGTGAGGTGATAAAGAATCTGTGTCAAAGCCCAGACTAAGAGGACAACCGAGGAATCTGGTGATAAACAGCTGTGCTCTCCCACTTTCCCACCCCTCTCCTCCGAGGTAACCCCCATCTCCCTTTCCTTCTCCTGGACTCCCCCCACTGCCCCCACCCCCCAGACCCAGACAGTGGGCCTTACCTGGCACAGCTCTATCCCAGCATGAAGTCCAGCCTGGGACTCCCACCTTGGAGGGGCCCTGCCCCGCAACACTTAGCATCTCCTGCAGCAGAAAGCGGTTCCTCTCCACGCGGTCAGACAGGGACAAGGTGCTGCCCCCAGTGCCCAGGGCCCCCAGGTTCCCAGTTTTCCAGAGATCCCCCAGCAGGGCTGGCCTGGGGACAAAGTCCTCCTCGGAGGTCGGAGACAAGCCGTCCGGGTCTCCCCGGGCGATGAGGCCATCCTGCCGGGGGTGTGACCTTCCTTTCTGCAGGGTGAGCTCGTGGGTGGTTTTGTTACAAGGACCAGAGCCCCTCGGCCGGCCTGGAGTGACCCTGTGGATGGGGCCCTCTTGCAGAGAGCTGGGCCCGGGCGGCAGAGCTCTGTCGTGCTCAGGCCATGTTTGAACACCCTCTGGAGGCAACGGGCTCCTTCTGTTCCGGCACTCGAGTCCGGGGGCAGGAGACCTGGGCGGCCCCGCGTCCCCATTCCTGGCTGGCTCCTTCTCAGTGACGCTGTGGTCCAGCCTCCTGTCGTTCGGGTTCTGCGTGTGATGGCCCACCACAGCCTCGGGTGGGGAAGGCCCCTCTGACGGAGGCTTGGTCCCACCCACCTTGACTCGTCTGCTCTTGGGTTTCTTGAGGGCCGGCCGCTCGTGGGAAGGGAGGCCGGGGCCTGCCCCCTGTTTGCCTGCTGTCATCTTCTCCTTTAAGGCCCTCACCTTGCACTCCAGCACGGAGGGGCCCTGGAGCTGTATCCCCCATGCCCCAGGAGGCCGGGGGGCCATTGGGCTGGGTGTTCCATCTTCTCCAGGGCAGGGCCAGGGTCTTGGGAGGTGTCCATTCTCCGGCTGTGGCTCAGGGCTGCTTCTCTCCACAGCTGAGGTCACCTCCATGGAGCTGGCCATTCTGCTCCCTCTTTGGGATTCTCTGGAGGAGAAAACAGACAGAGCGCCTTAGACCCACTACCTGGCCAGCTCCCACGACCTCCTGGGTCTCCACAGTGCCTTGGTATAGAGCCCTGTCTGGAGGAAGAAAACTTGGGGTCAGATCAAGGGGTACCCCTGGACAATGTGAAAGCACCTGGGGAGCACGAGCCTTTGGATGGTACAAATAAGTCATCACTGAGTTTTTTCTTCCAAGTCGGAGTAGTATTCTTATTTTTCTATCCCCATTTTACAGGTGGGGACAGTGAAGGGTCAAGCAACAGTTAATCTTCTGCCCAGTCTGGACCAGAAGGAAAATGGGGACTGGATTCCCAGTCCCTGGCTTCGTGTTTTGCTGACAGGTGTCAGGCTTCAGGGGAGGATGGCAATTTCTGCTCATGCCCACAAGCTCTTCCCTTTCCAAAGGGAACCAAGGCAGAGGATGGACTTCAGGAAGATACCACCCAGGATCTGACCTGCCGGTGGAAGGTGTCCCCCTTCCCTGTCCTCAAACCTCAGGCGTGAGCGGATCTGTGCCCACAGGGCGGCTAGGATCAGGCACCAAGGCCTTTCAGCATCTGCTCGGTGCTGGGTAGGCCTAAAGGTACTTTCAAACACTCTCTCTCAAATTCTTACGCCATTCTGCCGGAACAGGGTTATGACCCTCATTTTTACAGAGAGACGGAGGCCCAGAGCCATTAGGCCTGGCTAGGAACGCAAAGCTTCTCCTCCCAAGGTCAGGGCCCTTCCGAAGCACCCAGTGACCAGGACTGGGTCCTGGTCCCAACTGCCCTTAGTCCTATAGGAATATTGGTCTAGACAGGTAACCTGCCCAGACGACCGCTCCTTGGTGCCACGCTTGATGTGTCAATGTCTTCACAGGGAATACAAGTGAGCACGAGATTTTACTCGCCAAGCAGTTCTGTGCACACATACAAGCCACAATGTCTTAATATCTATCCTGCTCTCCGAGACCATGCCCCTTCTACACCATACATCTAGATATGTCCCACTGCATGCATAAAAATCCACATTTACATAAATCACAAACTAGGGGTTAATTATTCACCTAATACTGACTAAAGATTCACTACAGAATTCTCTTAAATGCCAAGACCCTCTACAGTCATTTATTACAACTCAGTTTTTAATACATTTCATGAATGCACAACAAATGCACAACACACACGCGCCGGTATGTTATGTCCGTTTTAAGCCTGTGACGTTTAAGGCCTGTCTTCGGGAGGACGAGATCATTGTCTCTACCAGTTCATCTAAAATTGATCAACTTTGTCGTCACAGCCCAGCCACTGAGTCCTCTCTTCTAAGGTTCAATCCAGGAAGCAGGGGATTTGAAGGGTATGGGAGCAATTTCCGTCACATTACAAGAGCTTTCAGGTAAAGTCTGGAACAGCATTCCAGAGATCACCCTTCTCTAGAGACCTGTTAGGATAGATGAGACTTTCCTCGGGGGTACAGTGGGTACAGACTTGTGCGGCTCGGAGCCGCTGAAGTCTAGGGCCGAGCACTGTGCTCGTCTAACCCCAACCCCGAGACGCTGAAATGAAGATGGTCGTGACGGGCAGGCCTCCCCCCCGCGACCCTTCCTTCTCGCTCCCCCGGTCCCGCCATCCCCGGCCCGCCAGGGGCCTCGCCTCCTCCGTACTCACAGAAGGCTGCCGCCAGCAGGTCTGGGCGCCGCCTCCATCCCCTCCATCCCCGGGGAGACCAGGCCCTCCTCTCGCCCCCTCTCCCTCCCGGGCCCGCGGCGGGGAGCAGGGCGCGCGGGCTCCGGCCCGGGGCTCGGGGAGTGCGGCCCGCAGGCCTCGGCTCTCGGGGCGCGCCCGGCTCGGCTCCGGGCTCCGCGGGCCGCCCCGGGGTCCGGGTGGGGTCGGAACCCGGCAGCCGCCCCGCGGACCGCGGCCTCCCTCCAGGTCCGGGGAGGGGACGCGGGGTCGGACGGGGAGGGCGCGGGAGGGCAGGAAACGGCATGGGCGGCTAGCTCCTGGCTCGGCCACGGAGGGGGTGAGAGGCCAAGCCCGGCGCCTCCCCCGGCCGGGACGGGAAGAGGGAGCGGGAGAGCAGAAAGGAGGCGCGGCGGAAGGGGCTGGAGGAGCGGCCCTCGCTCGCACCCCGCCCCGCCGCCCCGCGCGCTCCCCGGGGCCCGGGCCCGGGACCCAGCGCCCTGCGGGGCCGCTCCTCACGGGGCCGCCCAGACGTCTAAGCCGCCAGCCCGGCCGCGAGATCGGAGCCTCGGACGGGGCGGGGGCTGCCTTCCGGGCCGCCGGACATCACCCCTCCCGGCCCGGGTCGCCCCGTCCGCCGGGAGGGCGCTCGCAGCCCAGGCTTCGGGGAGAGCGCGGCGGTGAGACGCGGCTCCACGTGAGCCGAAGCTGCGGAAACACCGCGCTCTCCCCGGAGCTTCGCGGCGAGGCGTGTAACCCTACACCCGGGGCGCGGTGGGGGGAGGCTCGGCCGGCGGCTGGCGACTGTCGGGGTGGAAGCCGAGGATTGCCCTTTGTCTGGACAACTTTTCCGGAGGAGGCGCCCTCTCCGAGGGGCTGTCTCCTTGGAGGTCAAGGTCATTTGTTTCCGCTTTCTAGCAGCGCAAGGGACACACGTGGTGGACGCGAGTCCCCTCTTCTTGTCCAGCTAAGGGGAGAGCCAGGTGCCTGCGTGGCCAGACGCCTTGGATAGGGACCGGTTCTGGGGGGACTCTGGGGACTCCGGAAGGCCCCTTGTCACTTTTCCCAGACCTGGCGGCAAAGTATTAATAGCTGCAGAGGACTTGCCCTGCAGCGGTGGCCCCAACCAAGGGAGCACGCTTTCTCTTTCCACCCAGGGAGCGGGAACGGAGCCCCAACTATTTCCAAGCCTGTTTTTCCACAACTGTAAGAGAATTAGGACCCAGGAGATTCCGGAAATCTCTCCAAAGGGAAAGTGCTGATCATCTTTCCTTCTGCCCACAAGCTTCACTCTCCAGCGCCCCGTTGCTCTCTGTTTGCCCTGAGGCAGTAGAGTCACCATCTAGACGACAGACCTAGCTGCCTAAGGTATGGACCGAAGCCTGCGGACTGCGGCGCAGAAGGGATGGGGTGTCAGGGATGGATGGGAAGGAGGCCTGCCCTTGAGTGAGAGTTATTCTGCACAAAGGGGGGAAGAGGGCATCTGAGCAGGACAAGGCATCCAGGCCTGAGAGAGGCCATTCGGGGAGCTGTCTGTGGGTGGACTAACCTTTGCTAATTTAGGCACCTGGGAGATTATCTAGGACACACCCTCAGTGTCACAGAACAGGCCCAAGGTCACCGAGGTGGTCTCCACAGTCCTGGGCAGTGCTCTTGCACCCCACCCTCCACCCCCATATTCCCACAGCAAGCAGATCCTCCTACCATTCTGTGCTGGTTAGTACTGATCACTTCATAATACAGTAAATGGTACCATTTATGGAGGGCGTCCTGTCACCTGGCATTGCTGCAGTCTTAAGAGATGGGTACTGTTTCCTGTCTTCTTTGTACAGATGAGGAAACTGTAGTTAGATGATCTGTCCAAGGTCGCAGAGCTGACAAGTCCAAGACCCTCCATTAACCACCCAGAACAACGCTGTTGCCAGCATTCCTCATATTCAACATGGAAAGATTTTGTTTAAAAACATCAAAAAAAAAAAAAATTGTGAAGTACTGTGATAGTCAGATTATGTTGCTGCTATGGTCTGGCCCTTCCTTTCTGGATCCTCTCTGCCTTCTTCTTCTGCCAGCCCAGACAAAATCCTGTAAACCTCGAAAGACGCCTTCCTCTCCTCCGTGCGCAATGTCAACCCTACCAACAACAGTATTACTATTATTGGGGACCTGTTATGAGGCAAAGCACTCTATGTTGGATGTTTTAGATCACTAGAACAACTCTGCAAAGTAGGTACAGTGTATCCCCACTTTAGGAATACAGAAATTGGGGTAGACAGAAGTGTGGGGCTTGCCCAAGGCTACACAGCTAGTATAGTCAGAGTCTGAACCTGGTTCTGTCCAGGTCCAACACTCTCTGCCTTGTTTCTTCCTTTCAGAGTCACTGCTTTGGAGCTCAGGCTCTTAATTAGAGATTTCAGCTCCAGGACTTCTGCTCCCCGCCCCCCCCCCCCAAAAGTTAATGATCTGTAAGGTAAGTTTCTGAAAGTTCTAGCAAAGGCCTAGTATTTAAAGGAAACCTGCCCTCGGCCTTTTTAACATGCAAATATTCACCTTCAGTATACTCATTAAATTTGTTATTTTGCACTTAACAGGGGGATGAAGTGTCACAGCTATACAGAGGCTTTAACAGGCACCTGTAGGAGATGTAAGAGACACGAGTTTGATCCCTGGGTCGGGAAGATCCCCTGGAGGAGGAAATGATACCCTACTCCAGTATTCTTGCTGGGAGAATCCCATGGACAGAGGAGCCTGGTGGGCTACAGTACATGGGTAGCAAAGAGGTTGACATGACTGAGTGTCTGAGCACCCAGCACACAGGGTCCTAAAAACACCATAAGTCAATCCTTAGAATGCTCTTAAATGTGGCATTCGCATGCCTCAGGGCACATCCCATTCATCTGGATTCTGTTTGGTTCAGCAAATATCTCTTGAGCTCCTACCATGTGCCAGGCACTGGGGAGACAAAATGTAGTACCACAAATGCTGCCCTTGAGGAATTTCTGGTCAACTCAGAGTAGGGAAGGGATGGTGCCTAAACTCTGTATAAGTGGTCCCATCAAGGTGAGCATAGGGTGGAGGTCTGGGTAGTTCACAGGAATAGCTAGATTGAGATGCCTGCTGGGTGGTTGGAAGGTATCTAGGCGAGCTGGGTCTTGCAGAATGAGCAGGAATTAGCCAGACAGAGGGGGAGGGGTGGGATAGGCAAGTCAGAGGGGGAGGGATTAGCATAAACACAGGCCTTGAGGTGTGAAACTGCCTGGTTTAAATGTTAAATATAAAGGTTAATCTGGGAAAGTCTGGGGGTAGGGGTGAGGCTACAGAACTAGGGTGGTGGGGCCTGGTTGAGGGCTCTTGGTCCCCGGTGAGGTGCTTGGACCCTGTCCTTTGAAGTGAGAGTCCCTGGAAGGTGGTCTAATCTGGGCCTTAGCCTTGAGCACCTTTCTGGGCTGGGGAACTGCCTTACCTCCTTGAGTATCAGACTCTTTCATTACCATCCTTTGGAGAGGAATCTGGGAGGAACCCAAATGTAGAGTAAATAGCAGACACAGAGCCCCCCTTCTTTTGGATCACCTAGGGGAGTCTCCCTCCCCTTAGCCTGGATGAAAACACAAGCTTCACTCCTCCTCTCCACCCTCCCACAATGGGCTCTGAACAGTCAGTTTGAATAAGGAGGCTTGTGAGTTGTGGAAGTAGGGATTTCCCTTAGGATGGAGGGAAAGGGTGAGCTAGTCCTTCAACATCCCTCCCTTAGAGCAGGTGGAGTGGAGGGAGGGACACCTCTGTCATCCTTCCCCTTACTGCCTGCAGGAGCATGTCCAGCTGGAGATCTGCATTTCCTGTCCTCATCAGGGGGCACATGGTCCAGGAGCACTAGGGCATCTGATCCTGGCGGCCCCCCTGGTGATACTGTTTACAGTCCCAGGGCCTCCCCCTCAGACAGACCCTCCTTTCCTTCCAGCAGGAGCCCGAGAGAGTGTCAGGACTGGTTTCCCATGCACCTGCCTCTCCCTTGATAGGAATCCTCCTGCTGTTTCCCAGGGTCCAGTCTACCCAGAGCTTGTGTAGACCCTCCCGGGACGCTGCTGAAAAGGCTGATTCTGAGGTCTCGCCCATGGGGATTCTGATTCCTTAGTTGGAGTTAGGCCCAGGAATGTGTTCTCTAACAAGCTTCCCAGGTGATTTTGAGGCCAGTCAGTGTGAAGAAGCAGAAACCCTCAGCTTAAAACTCAGACTCCTTTGTATGGTACAGCGGTCCCTCTAGCCCCAGTTCTCACCAGCCCGAGAGCTTGTCCAGCCCACCCACCATATTGCATTGCTACTAGTTCCCCTGACTGGTCATACTGGCTCATGTCTCCTTGCCTTTGCCCAGTCTTTCCTTCAGCCACACACACGCTGCTTCACGCCACACACACATACACACATCCCACCCCAACTTGGCTGTCTCCTCCTGGACCGTCCACACTCAGCTCAAGCGCGCCTCTGCAGAGACGCCTTCCACAACATCCTGTGCTGTCCTCCCCACCTGGGTTCATGCACCCCGGACCCACTGCTGCCCGAGCACTTATCACTCTGAGTGGTCGGCCTCCGACACCTCACAGCGCTTCCTGTTCCTCAGCCTCGTTCCTGGCCCCAACACACTCCCAGCACATAAAAGCCACTGACTAGAGGCCACGTAGTTAAAATGAAAGACAAAAAATCCCTGTCAGGTAAGGATGCCTAAGAGCAGAAGACGGGGCCGCTCCTGCTCAGGGGATCAAGGTCATTTCCAAAGGATGTGGTTCATTCCCTCAGTGTGGCCCGTCCTGCCCCAGGGCCTGCGAGATAGTCGGCCACCGGCAGGGCGAGGACCGGCCTCCAGCCTTCGTGACTCCCAATTACACGTGACACTCTGGCTCTCCTCGCTTTTCCCCCAGATGGCCACTGATCCCAGACACTGGTGTGGCCCTTACACTTCAATTCTGAGTGAGTCTGGAAACTTGCAGATAAAATAGCCCTCAGAAGAAGAAATAGATGGGGAAGGGGAGAGGAGAAAAGAACGCGAGAGAAGCAGGTGAAGCTAGGTGGAGAGAAGACAGTCAGGCAACTTGACAACTGGGCACCTCCCGAGAGCAACCACCTAGGTTTCTAGTCATGCCGCTCTGCACACACTAACACATGTACACACACACGTAGAACACATGTATGCCATGTTCTCCTTTACCATGCTTGCCTGAGCTGACTCAGACCCAAGAAGAACAAAGGCGTGCTTCCTACCTGGTCAGCCCGCACCGCTCCCCGGGGCAGGCAGAGGGGGAGCTGCCGGGCTGCAACGGGCCTGCCCTGGAGACAGTGAGGCCCTGGAGGCCCACTCGCCCTGTGCCCACCCTGAGTCTGCCAGGCATCTGCTCCCGTGCGAGTGCGCACTGTAGCTTTTCATTTCCTAATCCTAATCACCGGGAAATGACTGGGCTTAGGCAAATGTTTTAATACTCTCCCTCCGACTCCCCCATGCCTGCTCAGTGGGAGGCCGCCATCAATAAGAGGAGAGGACCCCTAGCTCTCTCCTGTCTGCCAATAGCCATGGTCGTCTTGGCCACATTGATTTTTCTTGTTAATGAAACGAGAGCAAATGCAGGGGAAAGATACTGGAGGTTGACTGAGCACAGGAGTCATGTCTGTGACAGCTTTTGATCTTGAGAAAAGACAGTGTTCAGTTCTATGTGATAATTCGATTAAGACATATGAGAAACTCCGAAAGCCTCACGGCTTTTCTGCGGCAGATGGAGCCCTTTCTAGCCCCCCAGGCTCTGCAGTCCCTCATCCTGTCGGGGTTCCTGTCTCCCGTCCCCTCCTGCCCCCACCAGCTTGGGAGGTTTTGCTGGAGACACAAATGAGCCTCCAGAGAGCCTCTGTCTAAGCAAACACCCTCCGCTTCCCGGGTCCCTCGGAAAGTTTTTCCCCCTGTGTTAAGTGAAGGTATGTAGTGGGTGAGGTACAGAGGAAAAGACCCAAATTTGCCAAGTCCAGGATTAGACTCTGGCGACCTGGGTTCAGCTCTGGCTGGACTATATCTCCTTGTGGGTCCAAGCATTGGGTCACTCTGAGTTCAGTTTCCTTACCTGGAAGTGTCAGGCTGAACTAACAGGTCCCCAACTAAGCTTCTCAGAACCCCAGGGCCCTGTGAGACATGAACAGGTCTCCCAAGAAAAAGAGATTTCAAGTCCAGTAAATCTGGGCGATAATGCATGCCATCTCACCTTCCTGGCAGTTCGTTAGGCCTAAAGGCATTTCACAGGCTCAGCCATGTCCTGAAGTGAAAACAAAACAAGATCAAACCAGTTTACCTTGGCTTAACACTGCCTTTCTCAAAAGTAACTGACCACGGAAGCTGTTTTCCCCCCACCCCCACGTAGCAATTAACATCCTGGGGAACACACTCTGGGACAACATGGACCAGACAACCTCTCAGGTTCCTTCTTGTTGGGATGGTCTAGGCCTCTTGACTTTGAGAGGAGCAGCAGGCAGCTGCTATGCAGCAAATTCTAGGATCCTGTAGAGAGGGCCAGGCTACAAGCAGAAAAGGCTCCGTTAGGGGGCAAGTGATAGCCCATCCCAGCTTAATTTTACCCTATTTTTTAAGAAAACCTAATGCTAAAAGGAGTTAGAGACCAAAAAAGGGGAGACTTTCTTAAAAAAAGAAAATCTCAATTTCCTTTCCAATTCTTTGTCAGTTTGATTAAGTCAATTTACCTTAAAACTAACAGCCTCAGTTTGCCCATCTGAGCAAAGGGAGAGCAAAGGAGACTTGGCTGAACTCACTCAACATTAATCCTCAGAACAGGATTTCCCAACCTGGGGTCCCCAGACCCCTAATGGGGGTTATCACCCATATTTCTCTCTCTCTCTCTCTTTTCTCTCTCTTTAGTCACTAAGTCATGTCTGACTCTTGTGAGCACATGGACTGTAGTCTGCCAGGCTCCTCTGTTCAGGCAAGAATACTGGAGTGGGTTACCATTTCCTTCTCCAGGGGATCTTCCTGACTCAGGAAGCGAACCCGGTCTCCCACATTGCAGACAGATTCTTTACCAACTGAGCTATGAGGGAACCTGGAGTCCCCAGACACCTAATGGGGAGGGGAGCATAAGTTATCACCCATATTTAAAGAAGTCTAATGGAAATCATACATTTACCATGAGAAGTGTCTTTGCTTTTGACTGGTATTATATCAACTGAATATGACAGTGTGAGTTGCCAAGGGGACAAGGATTATTATGCAATAAATATGGTTGGTTTGTTGGACAAAACTTTTATTACTTCTTAAGGATCATAGAAGTAATAAAAGGATCAGTTGGTAAGCAAAGGCTTACAAGTTACTGACTCAAGAGGTTGGGTCCAAAACCAGTTTTAAGAGCTGTGGTGGAGAGTGAAGGAGCATACAGGATCTGCAGGAGGTTAGGATGTTATTTTGTAAAGAAGAACTATACACAAAAGATCTTCATGACCCGGATAACCACAATGGTGTGATCAGTCACCCAGAGCCAGACATCTTGGAATGTGAAGTCAAGTGGGCCTTCGGAAGCATCACTATGAACAAAGCTAGTGGAGGTGATGGAATTCCAGTTGAGCTGTTTCAAATTCTAAAAGATGATGCTGTGAAAGTGCTGCACTCAATATGCCAGCAAATTTGGAAAACTCAGCAGTGGTCACAGGACTGGAAAAGGTCAGTTTCCATTCCAATCCCAAAGAAAAGCAGTGCCAAAGAATGTTCAGACTACTGCACAATTGCACTCATCTTACATGCTAGCAAAGTAATGCTCAAAATTCTCCAAGTCAGGCTTCAACAGTACGTGAACTGAGAACTTCCAGATGTTCAAGTTGGATTTAGAAAAGGCAGAGGAACCAGAGATCAAATTGCCAACATCCATAGGATCACAGAAAAAGCAAGAGAGTTCAGAAAAACATCTACTTCTGCTTTATTGACTACGCCAAAACCTTTGACTGTGTGGATTATAACAAACTGTGGAAAATTCTTAAAGAGATGGAAATACCAGACCACCTTACCTGCCTCCTAAGAAATCAATATGCAGGTCAGGAAGCAACAGTTAGAACTGGACATGGAACAACAGACTGGTTCCAAATCGGGAAAGGAGGGTGTCAAGGCTGTATAGTGTCACCCTGCTTATTTAACTTATATGCAGAGTACATCATGTGAAATGTCAGGTTGGATGAAGCACAAGCTGGAATTAAGATTGCCAGGAGAACTATCAATAACTTCAGATACACAGATGACACCACCCTTATGGTAGAAAGCGAAGAGGAACCAAAGAGCCTCTTGATGAAAGTGAAAGAGGATAATGAAAAAACTTTCCTCAACATTCAAAAAACTAAGATCATGGAATCTGGTCCTATCACTTCATGGCAAATAGATGGGGAAACAATGGAAACAGTGACAGATTTTATTTTCTTGGGCTACAAAATCACTGCAGAGGTGACTGCAGCCATGAGATTAAAGCTTGCTCCTTGGAAGAAAAGCTATGACCAACCTAGACAACATATTCAAAAGCAGAGATATTACTTTGCTGACAAAGGTCTGTCTAGTCAAAGTTATGGCTTTTCCAGTAGTCATGTATGGATATGAGAGTTGGACTATAAGGAAAGCTGAACACCGAAGAATTGATGCTTTTGAACTGTGGTGTTGGAGAAGACTCTTGAGAGTCCCTTAGACTGCAAGGAGATCAAACCAATCAGTCCTAAAGGAAATCAGTCCTGAATATTCATTGGAAGAACTGATGCTGAATCTCCAATACTTTGGCCACCTGATGTGAAGAACTGACTTATTTGAAAAGACCCTGATGCTGGGAAATATTGAAGGCAGGAGGAGAAGGTGACAACATAGGCTGAGATGGTTGGATGACATCACCGACTCAATGGACATGAGTTTGAGCAAGCTTGGGGAGTTGGTGATGGACAGAGGCCTGTCGTGCTGCAGTCCATGGGGTCGCAGAGTCGGACTCTACTGAGCGACTGAACTGAATTGAACTGAGGGTGTTCACAGGGAAGATGTCGCCCCCAGGGAGCCCTGGGGGACATCTGGAGTTTGTGTGCAGAGGTGTGTTTCGTGTGTGTGTGTGTGTGTGTGTATGGGGGGCTGTGCCACAGTGGCCCCTTTCAGAGCTTGCGGGGGAAGAGTCTCAGTGGGCTGAGTCAGGGTGTGCGGTGCTATGTTTACTGAGCTGAGAGAAGGGTGCCCACGACGTGGCCAGTGGGCTCAGGGATCAGGTCAAAGTGGAGTCTCTACACATTCTTAGAAGGCCTTCGTCAGTGCCAGTGTCTGAGGGTTTGCAGGCCCTTGAAAGCTCGGATTTTGTGTGTGTAAAGTCCTATCCCATTGGGCCTCCCACCACCCTTTCGTAAGCAGCCACATCTGGAAAGTTTCTCTGCTTGTTTCATGGCTGTTTCCTTCCATCCCGTAGATGCCCTCACCCAGAATCACCCCTCTACTCTCCTGCTTCCCTTTCTCCCCCTCAGGCCTCTCAACCAACATCTCTCCCACAAAGTCCGGCTCCATTTCTGCAGCGGGCTTGGGGAACTGGGCCCCAGGACTTGTCTCTGCCCCCAGGAAAGCAGTGGTGAAAATCATGGTTGGTAAGTCCCTGTATGTTATGAGAAAGCTGCTTAGCTTTTAAAACTTCTTCAGTATGGAGCATCTAAGACAAAAACTTTCTCTTGCTAATATTGATATTGCTAATAATATCTCTTACTAAGAGTTTTGGCCATTTCTGTGAAGATTCAGAGGAAACAAGGAGAACTGAGGTGGATTCCACTTGCCCTAGGACCTGAACCTGGCTACTGGCCTTAGCTAATTGGCCAAGCTGAAAAGGAATTTTTTCTAGGGTGTTGAGAACAAAGCATTTTGGAGTGTGTATGTGTGTGTGTGTGTGTGTGTGTAATTATGTCAAAAGACCTGATAAATAAATGCATAGTTTGGAATGGAGAAGTTAGTCATTAAAGTATAGGGGAAAATGTGAAAAACTTTGAAATGATCCCCAAACATCATTGGATGTACTGTCTATGCATCCTTTCAGATTATCTGAGCTATTTTATAATTCTATGAATTGTAGTAAAATGGATAGTAATACAAATGATTTTTGTCCTGAGAAATGACGATTGTATTTGTAGAACTGACTCATGAATGTTGACCAATTTTGCTGATTTTGCATTTGTTTGTAAATTTTTCTCACATTCCAGATGTCTATATATTTATATATCTAAATATATATTTAAATATATATTTATTTTTTAAAATTTTTAGATAAAATAAAAATATATTTTTAGATAGATAAATATATTTAAATATATTTATCTATTTATCTATCTAAAAATATATTTATCTAAATATCTATATATATTTATGTATATAAGAGTCTCTATATTTAGATTCTTCTTTGAACAGCTTATAGCATTATACTGATTTTCTGATTAATGACAAAATCGCTGACATGTTTGCATTTTATAACTCTATGAAAAACATGACTATCCCTCTTAAAAACTATCTTTTGACGTGTCCACAGAGAAAGGGCCATGTGAGGATACAGTGACAAAGCCGCCATCTGCAAGCCAAGCAGACGGGCTTCCAGGGAAACCAAATCTGCTGACATCCTGATCTGTACTACCAGCTTCTAGAACAATGAGAAATACATTTCTGTTATTTACGCTCCCCATTGTGTGGTATTTTGTTATGGGAGCCCTAGCAGACCAAGACAGTTTACCCAATTTGTTTATCCATTCTCTTGTTGATGGATGTTTGGTTGTTTCCAGTTTTGGGTTTTTTTTTTGCAATTATGAATAAATAAAGCTGCTCTTAACATTTATATACAAAACTTGTGCTTGTGTGCTAAGTCGCTTCAGCTGTATTCGACTCTGTGTGACCCTGTGGACTGCAGCCCGCCAGGCTCCTGTGTCCATGGGACTCTCCAGGCAAGAATGCTGGATTGGGTTGCTGTGCCCTCTTCCCAACCCAGGAAAAGGACTGGCATCTCTTATGTCTCCTGCATTGGCAGATGGGTTCTTTACCACTCGCGCCACCTGGGAAGCCCATACAAAAGTTATCCTTGGTCAAATTAATTCAATTTATGTTTTCAACGAATATTTCTTAGTGTAAGCCAGGCATTATGGTTGGACAATGAGGACAGAAAAACAGATGGCATCCTTGCCCTCAAGAACAGTCTAGAATGGAAAAATTTGTAGTGGTGGATGCGTCTGTGCTCAGTTGTGTCTGACTCTTTGAAACTCCAAGGACTGTAGCCCACCAGACTCCTGTCCATGGGATTTCCCAGGCAAGAATACAGGAATGGGTTGCCATTTCCTTCTCCAGGAGATCTTCTCGACCCAGGGATCGAACCCACGTATCCTGCATTGCAGGCGCTGAGCCACTGGGGGACAAGAGAGCCGAGCCTATATATGCCCAAAATAAAGTACAATCACTCTATGTGGATCTGTCTAGTCTCTAGACATGGATTGCCCCATAAGGGGCATGGTTTGGGGTGAGGCAACCAGCTGCCACTGAGGCATACCCCGGAGGAGCTGTCAACCAGAGACACTGCTCACAGCACCCCCACACCTGGGGCCCAGACCTGTGATGCAGACCTTTCCTTAGACAAAGACCTGGCTGGTGCACTCTGGGTCCGCCATAGTCCACCCTGTACGCCATTCAGCTCACTTTTCCACATGCGTTCTTCCAGGACTGTGGTGAGCTTTTCCTCCTGAAGGAGGTTAAAAGGATGAGACAGCCCCTCACTTGATGCAGCTGGTCTCTGGACCACAGCTGGTGCTCTTTCCTTCTAGATGCCCCTCATCATCAGTTTTCAGCTCTCCCAGCCTCAGAGGCTTGTCTGGTGATGTGACCCTGACCTTACCCCCAAGGAGCCTGGGCCCTGGTCACCGTGTCCTTGGACTGAGGTTTCGGTATCTCTCCATTTACACCACAACTGAGCAAAGAAGTATCAGGGTACTCAGATCACCTATATTAAAAAAAAAATAACTTTCTTTCCACAAAAAGGACAAAACATGACAAGCAGATATAAAGATGAATGAAGGGACTCCTCAAGATGGGAGAGGAAGTAGGTGGACATGGAGTACATCTCTCTCCATGGATGCATCAGGAATACACCTTCAGACACAGAAGATCTTGCAGAACACTAGCTGAGAGGGGGCAGGGGTCCCTGACCACTGGAAAGGAATATATATATCCACACAAAACTGGGTAGGACCAAGGAAGGAGGGAAAAAAGGAGAATGAGCAGCAGCTGGACCTGCGTCCAGGGATGGGGGAACTGAAAGTGTCAGTTGCTCAGTTGGATCTGGCTCTTTGCAACTCTATGGACTGTAGCCCACCAGGATCCTCTGTCCACGTAATTTTCCAGGCAACAATACTAGAATGGGTAGCCATTCCCTTCTCCAGGGGATCTTCCCAACCCAAGGATCGAACCTGGGTCTCCAGCACTGCAGGACACTCTTTACCATCCCAGCCATCAGGAGGAACTGAAGCAGGGGTCAAATCCCCACATGGGACAAGGGTCTGGGACAGCGGAGAAGAATTTGAGGCTGTTGCAAAGTGCAGTGGCTGATCTATATAACAGTCTGAATAGAAAGAAAACCACACAGACAATCCTTGCCACAGCCTTATGTACCCTGAACAGGGATGCAAATCCTCTAGATCCCTTGGTGGCTGGGAACTGGAGTGCAGGGATTGGAGAGCAACCCCAGGATGAGGTCTGCTATTGATTGTGGGGAAATGGCCAGAGGGCACATGAGTGAGGAGATCGTGGTAGGAAATGCCTTTGGAGGAAAGCAGAGGAGCCAGGGAGGCAAGGTGATGATGCTGAGTCATGCGCAGGGGATGGAGCCATCACTGTAGCTTCTCTCTCTGCAGACCTCTGATAGTTGATAGACAGTTGATAGACCGCTGATAGACAGTGCTGATAGTTGACCAAGAGAGAAAGACCCCAGGGAGGGTAGCCCTTCAAGTGCCTAATGCACTGAGCAATAGAGAAGGGACCCCAGCCAGGGATTCGCCTTGGAAACAAACTGAACTCATTCTGTTGTTTTTGAGATTGCATCCAAGTATTGCATTTTGGACTCTTTTGTTGACTATGAGGGCTACTCCATTTCTTCTAAAGGATTCTTGCCTATAGTAGTAGATATACTGGTTATTTGAATTAAATTTGCCCATTCCCATCCATTTTACCAATTTCACCAATTTATCATTTCACCAATTCCTAAAATGTCGATGTTCATTCTTGCCATCTCCTTTTTGATCACTTCCGATTTACCTTGATTCATGGGCCTAACATTCCAGATTCTTATGCAATGCTGTTCTTTACAGCATTGGACTTTATTTCACCACCAGACACATTCAGAACTGGGTATCATTTCCACGCTGGCTCAGCCTCTTCATTCCTCCCGGAGCTATTTCTCCACTCTTCTCTAGTAACATATCAGGCACCTCCTGACCTGGGGAGTTCATCTTTCAGTCTCATATCTTTTTGCCTTTTCATACTGTTAATGGGGTTCTCAAGGCAAGAATACTGAAGTGGTTGGCCATTTCCTTCTCCAGTGGACCACATTTTGTCAGAACTCTCCACCATGATCTGTCCATCGTGGTTGGCCCTGCATGGCACATAGTTTCACTGAGTTATACAAGGCTGTGATCCATATGATCATTTTGGTTACTTTTCTGTGATTGTGGTTTTCGCTCTGGAGGCCAAGAGATTGTAGTTCTTGCTTCTATCTGCCCTCTGATGGATGAGGCAAAAATCCCTTAGAAGAAATGGAGTAGCCCTCATAGTCAACAAAAGAGTCTGAAATGCAGTACCCGGGTGCAATCTCAAAAAACTACAGAATGATCTCTGTTCGTTTCTAAGGCAAACCATTCAACATCACAGTAATCCAAGTCTATACCCTAACTACTAATGTCAAGAAAGCTAAAGTTGAATGATTCTAAGAAGACCTACAAGATTTTTTAGAACTAACACCAAAAAAAAAAAAGTCTTTTTCATCATAGGGGATTGGAATGCAAAAGTAAGAAGTCAAGAGATACCTGGAATAACAGGCAAGTTTGGCCTTGGAGTACAAAATGAAGTAGGGCAAAGGCTAACAGAGTTTTGCCAAAAGATTGCTCTGGTCATAGCAAGCATCCTCTTCCAACAACACAAGAGACGACTCTACACATGAACATCACCAGGTGGTCAACACCAAAATCAGACCAATTATATTCTTTGCAGCCAAAGATGGAGAAGCTCTAAACAGTCAGCAAAAACAAGACCTGGAGCTCAGATCATGAACTCTTTGTTGCAAAATTCAGACTTAAAATGAAGAAAGTAGGGAAAGTCATTAGGCCATTCAGATACGATCTAAATCAAATCCCTTATGATTATACAGAAGTGACAAATAGATTCAAGGAATTAGATCTGATAGAGTGCCTGAAGAACTATGGACAGAGGTTTGTAACATTGTACAGGAGGTGGTTACCAAAACCATCCCAAAGTAAAAGACATGTAAGAAGGCAAAATGGTTGTTTGAGGAGGCCTTACAAATAGCGGAGAAAAGAAAAGAAGCAAAAGGCAAAGGAGAAAAGGAAAGATATACTCAACTGAGTGCAGAGTTCCAAAGAATAGCAAGGCGAGATAAGAAAGTCTTCCTCAGTGTTCAATGCAAATAAATAGAAGAAAACAATAGAACAAAAAAGCCTAGAGATCTTTTCAAGAAAATCAGAGATACCAAGGGAACATTTCATGCAAAGATGGGCTCAATAAAGGACAGAAACAGCAAGGACCTAATAGAAATAGAAGAGATTAAGAAGAGGTGGTAAGAATACACAGAAGAACTATACAAAAAAGATCTTTATGACCTGGATAAACGTGATGTTGTGATCACTCACCTAGAGCCTGACATCTTGGAGTGTGAAGTCAAGTGGGCCTTAGGAAGCATTACTATGAACAAAGCTAGTGAAGGTGATAGAATTACAGCTTAGCTATTTCAAATCCTAAAAGATGATGCTGTTAAAGTGCTGCACTCAATATGCCAGCAAATTTGGGAAACTCAGCACTGGCCACAGGACTGAAAAAGGTCAGTTTTCATTCCAGTCCCAAAGAAGGACAATGCCAAAGAATGCTCAGACTACCACACAATTGCACTCATTTTACGTGCTAGTAAGGTCATGCTCAAAATCCTTCAACCTAGGCTTCAACAGTACACGAACCAAGAACTTGCAGATGTACCAGGTGGATTTAGAAAAGGCAGAGGAAACAGGGATCAAATTGTCAACATCTGTTGGATCATAGAAAAAGCAAGAGAAAAAGCAAGTAGAAAAGCAAGTAGAAAACCCATTTACTTCTGCTTCATCAGCTATCCTAAAGCTTTTGACTGTGCTGATCACAACAAACTGTGGAAAATTGTTAAAGAGATGGAAAAACCAGACCACTTTACCTGTCTCAAGAAGCAAAAGGTAGAACCAGACATGGAGAAATGGACTGGTTCAAAATTGGGAAAGGAGTACATCAAGGCTGTATATTGTCACCCTATTTATTTAATTTATATGCAGAGTACATCATGAGAAGTGCTGGGCTGGATGAAGTACAAGTTGGAATCAAGATTGCTAGGAGAAATATCAATAACCTCAGATATAGAGATGACACCACCCTTTTGGCAGAAAGCAAAGAAGAACTAAAGAGCCTCTTGATGAAAGTAAAAAAGGAGAGTGAAAAAGCTAGTTTAAAACTCAACATTCAAAAAACTAAGATCATGACATCCAATCTCTTAACTTCAACGCAAATAGATGGGGA